GGCGCAGAGAGACGGAACACAGTGACTGCCAGGGCGCTGGCATTCAGCAAATAGTCTCTTCACCAAGTGAGAGATTTTCCAATAAATTTCAATTGCTAACTACTTGTATGATAGCTAGTAACTAGTTCAATGTTCTTCGATCTTCATTTAGAATAGCAATGAGAAACTGTTTTCGTATGACATCACAAGACGTCAAACAACTACCAATGCAATACAATGCTTTGGTGGTGACAGGGTCCACGTATAGAAGTTGGCACCTGTTTTGTTTACCGTTCACAGTGTGTCTTCTAGAGGGGAGAGCAGTCAGCACTGTGACACATAGCACTGGCAGCCCAAGTGAACATCAGCCCAGGGGGTGATAAAGTAAGGCACCCAAGCAGTGACCATCAAACACTGCTGAGAGACATCTCTGCTTCCTGACTGTTCCCCGTACCTTCCCCCCTCCATCAGGCAGTTCTGGTCAACAACAACAACAAACCATCAAACTCAAGTCTGGTCAAAGCTCTGGGTCCAACAACCAATTCCCAGGAGTGGCAGAGGACAGAGGCCGAGCAAAGGGAGCACTTGGGGAAGCAAGCTGTAAGATGAGGCTGGGAAACCACACAGAACAGGGTCCTGCTCTCTCAGCACGAGAAAGGAGTGGGCTGGCGTCCACAGAAATCAGAGACACCGGGAGACATATGCCGGTGGCATGTCTGCACCTGACAGGGTTCCTGATTCAAAGAAGTATACCCTAAGAAGAGGGGAAAAAATCATGAGACAATAAGGGAAATCCACACACTGGCTGGGTATTTAAAGATAGCAAGAAATTATTATTAAATTTTTAGGTATGATAATGACGCTGTGGTTAGTTTTTTTTTTTTAAGAGTCTTTACCTTTTATTAAAATATTGACAGACTGAATGGTAAGACATTTGTGACTCGCTTTTAAAGTAAATGGGGGAGGGAGAAGATTACCTGATATGAAGATAAAACAAGCTTGGCCATAACATAGCTATTGACCCTGGCTGACAGGAACATGAAAGTTCACTACTCTTTATGTTTGAAATTTTCTGTGTTTAAAAAAAAAAGAAAAGAGGCCTTCCCCGATGGCGCAATGGGTTTGGAAGCAGCAATGCAAGCTGGCTGCAGCGGCTTCAGTTTGAGTTCAACCTCAGGCTCTGGAGGTGACCCACATGGCGCGGCAGACCTCTCCTGTCTCACCCGCTGCTCCCCTCAGTACTGTACTTCATCAGTCAGCCTGTTCTGCTCCCCACTCTATCTCTGGTGAATCCTCTCACCAGCCCTGCAACTCTGGCTTGTATGCAGTTCTGTATGCATAAATGAATCTTAAAAAAAAAAAAAGAAAAGAATAAAGAGCCATGCTCATCGCAGAAAACTTGGAAAACACAGGGATGCAAAAAGGAAAAACAATCCCATACATCTTACCAATCACAAAAGCTATCACAAACAGAAGTCTTGTTTTTGCTGTGATTATTCAAGGACTCCATGTTCATTACAAAAGTGCTAGCAAAGGAATTTGCAAAAAAGACAGAAGATGAACTAAGGGCCTATGCATGGGTTTTGTCGGTTTGTTTTTAGTTCACACACATCTAATTCAAGTTCCAAACTCGACAGCATAAAGAACTAGTCACACAGACATACCACGCCCACCCTTCCGACCACAGGGCTGCCCATGTGCTGCGCACACGGTTACTTCACAGGAGCAAGCTCAATCAGTGACACTGCTTTTCCTCAAGGAAGCTGCAAATTCACGTAGTCATGAGTTTGTTCCTATGACAAACACTTGAGTGTGCACATCTCCTGCCAGCCAGGAGGCTGTCTCTCCTACTAAAGGTAAAGCCCTGGGCCCCAGCCCACAGCTGATGTGCTAGAAGATACACTGGAGCCCAGACATGGGTCACCACGGGTACGGACAAGGAAGCCTGGATTCCCTGAGGCTGGGACCCCATTAGGGCTGAGCACCGCCAGACATGGCACTGCACCCACTCAGCACTAAGTTGTACCTAGCACAAAGAATTTTTCCCTAGCAGTAAGTACAAATATTTAAGATTTGGAAAAATTATTTCGAATAACAAACTGGGGCACCTTCTGATATCCCTCCTAACTACAAGCCGTCTGGAGTGGGAAAGGGGGCTGGCACAGTGGCAGCTGTTCCTGGGAGCGCAAGTGTGTCCGGAGGGGTGTGTGGACCACACAATGCAAAAACAGCTCCAAGTCTCATGTGGCTGGAGCACACTAAATGCAAACACATCCGGCTTCACAAAATTCCAATACAGAGACAAACATTTTAATTTATGCTAAAGAAATTCTTTACTTCTAAAGTTAATGGCAAAACTGTGCTCCAAAGTCAGAGAGGAAACAGACATTTTAATTACTACAGTTTTTTTAGCGTCAGTAATGAATTTCTCATTTTGGAATGAAAAATTATACATATTCAATTTCCTTGCCCTGAATCCATTAAAACTTCTTGAAAAATTTGAATGTGATAGGCTAAAGAATCTTGATCTAACTCTAAAAAGTTTATAGTTTATATCTGCGACAATCTAGGTCTAAGTTTTCTAAAATAGTTACATGAGTTCTTGATATATTTTGGATATTAGCCCCTTGTTGGAATAAATGACTTACAAATATCTTCTCCAGCTATCACATCACTGGTTATTTACCCAAAAACACAAAAACATGAATTCAAAGGGGCACCTGCATCCCTATGTTTTCTGTAGCACCACTCACAAGAACCAGGACAGGAAACAAACTAAGTGCCCACTGACAGCTGACTGGCTAAAGATGTGGTACACACACACAAGGACTACACTCAGCTGTGAAAATAAATGAAGAGACTCTGGAAAATTTGCACAGGGACAGTCCTAGAGGGTATTATGCTAAATGAGGTGTCAGATAGAGGAAGTAGGATTTCATTGATGTGAAAGATAAAGAAACAAGTGAACAAACAAAACAAAAACAAACTTAGATTGAGAATAAAATGGAATTACAGGGGAGAGAGGAAGGGAGAGAGGAGACAAATCCCTTGAAGAGGTCAATTTTAAGAGGCGGATGGTTGATCACAATGTAGTTATACAAATGCTGTATATTAACGCGGTACACCTGAAACCTATATAATGTTACCTATAGACCACTGCTATAGCAATAAAAATTTAAAAACCAAAACTGAAGCGGTGTAAAATAAAAAAGAACATCAAACCGCCACATAGTTGTCAACAGTCTCTGACAGTCTTCTGAGGCCTACAACCTTCCACTAGGGAGGCCGATGCCTACATCCACTAAATGTGTCTCCTTCTGCACATCTGTTCTTGTAAAATTTACATTCTTGCCACATGAATATTGCTCGGAGGTGCAGTTAAGTCAGAGACAAACATCACAGTGGTGCGAGGCACCGCCCAGAGTAAGTGCAAATGTCTATGCAGTGCACCAGGAATCACCCACCAGAAGGCGAGTTCTTTGGAGCATCAATCTACAACCAGATGAACAGCCACACTATACATCACAGAGCTGGGACAGGCCAATTCAGCAGATGACTAGAGAATTCTGAAGACTAATAGCTCTTCCCCTTGAGCCCAGAGAAAATACTAGTGTGAAAGTCCCAGCCCAGATCCAATCAGCTAGGCCCTCTTCTCTGAAAACAAGATGCTAATGGAAGCACTTAGAACCTGAACCATATAAAGGTGTGTGAACAGAACAGGTCCCTGAGAGCCACAGGGCAGGGAGGGGAAGGAGCTATTTACCTGTCACTTTCTCACAGAGAAGTGATTGGTCAGAAAATCACTCTTACCTAGGATGGTGAAAATGGGGGTTATGTAAAAGATAGAACAGAGAAGAACCACGGATGGGACACAACTTTGTTATCTGCAGAGACCTTTTATGTTTGGAAAATAAAGGTATACTCTGGCACTCACACCCTATGTAGGAATGAGTCATTATTGATGTTGTGCTTAAAATTTTTTCAACACAAAATTTACAATCAAACATGCTAAGACCCTAGATGGGAGAGAAGTTTATAGAAACAAACGATGGGCCCTGGGAATTACCCCAGCAAAATTTCCCTGGACTCAGGGCACTTATAAAAGAGGGAGTAATTACACAGTCAAACAACTAGGAAGGCAAAGCACACTGGAGAAATATAAACACCAGTGAGGAGTTAAAAGCAATTACTGAATAGAAAAAGAAAGTGCCTAAAGAGGAAATGAGTAATTAAATAGGCTTTCTCCTGATCAACAGATCCTGAGAAAGCAGGAATCTCTGGGACAGGAGAGAGGGGAGCAAAAGAGCTGTGGGAACAGGAAGAAAGGAAAGGGAGTGAGGAAGGAGTACACAGCAAGCTACCAAAGAAGCTGGAGCATCCAGCCCTCCACCCCTGGGCTACCTGGGCGCCCCTCTTATAACCCTTCTACCCAGGTGAATCCTAACTGTCCCAATCCCTCCCAGGGGTCTTCAGGGCCCTCGGGAGGGGGGGGGGTCCTTCTTGACCTGCTCCTCTCCAACTGTCCTTAAGACCTGGCCCCCACTGAATGGCTCAGGTCTGCGAGATGACTAGCGCTGGGGGGGCCCCGTGTCTCTCTGAACAACACTACTGGCCAACAACCCTTGTCCAGAGTGGGGATGGGGTGGGGCGGACGACCCCAGGTCCTGGCCAGGACAGAGGACCCCGGTGCTGGGAGGCGGGGGAGGGGCAAGGGCGGTCATCACGGCCCAGGCTGGACTGGGGGAGTCAGTGGGACCCGGTGCCCAGGTGGTGCGGAGAACTGGGTTGAGGGAGTGGGCGTTCCCCACCCTGGGCAGGGCCGGAGGTGGGGGGGGGGATGGCTGCCCTGAGCACCGGCTGTGTGGGGGGGTCGCTGCTGTCCCTGGTGTCCAGGGCAGGGGATGGGGCTGACCCTGGGGCCCAGGCCGGGCGGGGGCTGGGGGTGGCACCGGTGTCCAGGCTGGAATGGGGCTGTCCCTAGGGCCCGGGCTGGGCTGGGGCCGGGTGGCCGCGACACTCACTGTTTGGGGAGCTGCAGGGCGGGCGCGCCGCGCCGCTGGAAGGCCCCGTCCACGAAGACGCCGTTCTTGCCGAGGCAGCGCAGGTAGAAGTGCGGCTCCTGGAAGCTGAGTTGCAGGTGGCGCCGCGAGATGAAGCTCGACAGGCCCATGCTCAGGTCCACCGAGCCCTGCGACGAGTTGCGGCCGATGGTGACGCTGGGCTGCCGCATGAGGAACTCGAACTCGCGGCCCTCCAGGCGCGCCAGCGCGGGCCCGGGGCTCCGGCGCACCGAGGCGGCCG